GCATAGCGGCTAGCAGCAGAAGTACTCGTTAGTACAGCCTCTGAGGTTCATCTTTGTCGCGCACTTGCAAGCATATCCACGAGAGGGATATGTGCACCTGGCTTCACTCTGAAGTAAAACGTTGAACGCAGGAGGTGCCAAGTAACTAGAATGCAACTCCTCATAAACTAGTAATTTGGTCTGGAAAATGAAAAGTGAAGATAGGGTATTAGGGGAGGCCTCATGTTTCCGCAGGAACTATACATGCTATCCCTCTCTATCCTTTCCATTATATCAGTCAGAATAGCACGCATGTGCCTTCTCTGTTGATGGAAAATTCTGGAAAACACCTTGGCTCACCTTCATCATCGAAACCGTGGGTTAACTCATGACCGCCTGTGCCACCTTGTCCTGCATAATTGTAAGCCTGTGGAAATTCCAAGCTGCAAAAAAGGATGTCCGGCATAACACAACTATCACCAAGACCACCCAGGAAAAAAGCCGCTGTTCTTGTAGGCTCACTTGTAATAAGGAGGATTCCATATGGCATAAGGGAACGTGATAGAATTTCGCTCGGGTTGATACCATGCATTCACCATAGCCGGAGATTGCAGGAAATTTGATCTGGAATTTCTCAGCTGAAATCTTAGGAATGTGCTATTGCGGAAATAAATATTAGATGAGTATACGAGGTGGCCGGCAACTCTTATCGCCAGTAGTTGCTAGCCCATTCATCAGGGACGATCATCCAGTAACTGGTTTGGAGGCGGAAATGAAACAAATTGGAATAAAACGTACTTGACGATAGGACTATTTTTCCCTCCCCCTAAAGTACCAGCATCAAGCCTTGAGTACTAACAAGGATATCTTTCAGGGCAAGGTGCGCTTTTTGGAAACGGTTTAGTACATGTTGTAGGGACGCATGTATGGACCACAAAACCATGTTTCGTTTTCGCTGAACGGTTTTAGTAGTACCAAAAAAGTGGTGAATAATAATACTCTTGATGGTTCAATCCCCCGCGGCGACTAAATTTTGCAATCAAGGTTGGCGGCCACTTGTTGGCTTCAAATGGTCCTGACGATGAATTTGACATCTGATTTTGATATTTAGCGCGATTTGGCACCAAACCGTAGGCGCCAACCCAAATGCAAAATTTAGTCGCCACGGGGGATCGAACCCTTAACAGTACCTTATGCTTCTTTTTTGGTACTGCTAAACCGTTCAGCGAAAATGAAACATGGTTTTGCGTTCCCTACATGCGTCCCTACAATATGCACAAAAAACCGTTTTGAAAAAGCGCACCTTGCCCTGAAAGACCTCCCTTGTAAGAGCTAAGCTCAATTTCCTATGACATGGTCTAGGTCAGAATATCTAGTCCTTCCTTGCTCTGTTGTCTTGTCAGTGTTAGTGTCTGCAGCACTTGTTTACAAGAATGGGATCGGGAAAGAAGTTATGGTTCTAGATCCTCAGAACTTGCATGTCCCATAAGTTTTCTCTCTGATCACTGTAATTGTTCCCATTATGCAGCATGGGAGGGTGGTGGATTTCAAGGGTGGAGATTTGGTTTCTGAAAGCCAGCTAATGGGAAGAAGCATTAGTAGTTCTAGAAAATGCTTTATTCAAAAACTTTTTCATGAATGCTTATGAAGTTGAACCACCCTGTGGCGAAGAAAATCGGCTCCGAAACGAGGAGCGGACATCGGTGGTGAGAGAGGTCGGAAAGTGAAAAGGAGAAAAGGGATCTAGATGAAGGCGTCAACATATCCAGTAGTCGCAATCTGTGGCTTCCAGAGCTCAAACAGCGTTCTCAAATCTGCGTCAAAAGTACACAGCGCTTTTCTGGTTGAACAAGCCCATGTAGGCGAAACCACCATAACCTCAGTGCTCGCGGATCGACCTCCCTACCTTACGGGGGAGCTAGGTAAACACGACTGATCTATATGTACGTGTTATATTGATAAGTGCTTCTAAGGGCAACGTATGATGGATTGGTTGATCAAATGAAAGTAAAGGTGGTGAATGATGAAGTAGTGAAGAAAAAAGTATTTTCGCAAGCCAGCACCAAGAAGGAGTCCGCCTTGGACGTCTTACCTCCGATCAGGGTCGGTCCTATCGTTGAGACTTTTTCCAAAATTTTTACGACCCCCTTCCTTCACGAAAACTTTCATACGACCCCCTACTTCACCACATCTTTTCTCCCGAGAAACGCCGTCGCGGGGGGACAAACTCCCCGTTGGTACAAGTCCCAACGTAGGGTTGACCCCGGCTTTCGATAGGTGGCACCGTGCCAATAAACAACTTTCATTGAGCGCTTTACATGAACGACAAAAATATAGGCCATTTCCAGAAAATGTTTTTTTTTCAAAATAGTGAGCGAACGATGACGATCAATCTTCATTATCTTATGGTTTTTATTATCATTCAGGCTGCTAGAGGGGGGGGGGGCTCCTCATGAAGGCGGCGATCACCACGGGTAAGCTCTGATAGGCTGGTATCCACCGCGAAAGCGCCACATCTCGGTCCTCTATCTTTTACGGAGCCTCCCTTCGTAATAGGCAGATTTCCCCTTCTCAACATCCAATCGTCACATCACCTAACCTTAAACAGGCTCAGTATAGATCTTCCTGTTAGAACTTTGATGCAATGTGACATTCAGTCATACCTGTCGCCTTTGTTATCCGGAGCTACGAGGAGTCGGAATGCTTCGCGATTTTCTAAACCTGCTTTCAACATGTTGAGAATCGTATAGAAATCTGTTTTGTTTTTGTTGTACGCGGCAATTATAGGATAGTAGTCAGCCTGAAATTGCACCTATCAGGTATTAAGATTTCACAAATTGCTTGCTTGAGTCGTGGCCTATTGTCCGATACTCCACCATCTGTGCGTAAGTAAGAGGTCGATTGTTAGCTAGGAGTTTTTGAAGTTCGCCATAAGAGAAGCTGTGGGGCCCAGCCGTAGTTTCTTCTAGTAACATGATCGCTATAGTTTGATATCAACTATTAACCACCTATTGACATTCCTATGAACATTTCTAAAGCAAAAGCGCAGTTGTTCTGAAGACCATGGGACTCACACTTTTATTATTTTTCGCCGGCTCTGGCCTTCGATTCCGCAGTCATCAAATCCAAAGGTCCTCTGTTGATCATTGGCCTTCAAAGAAGACGAACATCAGTCAAATTTTCTGTTTGATATCGAAAATAATTTTTAAACTCAGTGTAGATGCGAAGATTGAAATGTTCTTCGTGACCTGCACAAATGTTACGGTCCTGGTCAGCGCCGCTGGACATCGTAAGGGCCACTGTTTCTTTAACTGAGCGCGTTATGCGTTGTCCGCCTTCTTGCGACCTCGGAGCCTGTTGTGGAATCCTACTAAAAAAGCAAGGAAAAACCCCAGGTCGATTGCGATAGGGCGAAAAATTCGATAGATGAAGGTTTGTGGTTTGGCAGCTTTAAACGAGTATAGGAAAGAGAAGCCGAAGGAAAACCATTGTGAATGAGCCCTCAAACAAGCGGCCCTGTCAAGGGTCATTCGACGGTAGCTCATGAGTCCGTCGCCCATTCGCGGGGTATCCGTTGCAGTTTACCTAAGCGCCCTCAAATTAGTTGATAGCCTTCATCGAAAAATAGTATGGCGCTGAAGAACAGGCCGCTCCGTTCAGACGACAGCATGCCAAAGACGCGTTTTGGACGCTTTGGCGCATACTGGTCGCTTTCTCAAACAATGCGAAAACAGTTTATAGGTATCAATTATTGATCTTGCGCAAGGATGTTCGCGCAGAAACTCGGGTTCCGGCCTTCGGTCTCTCTCTTATTTTCGAGGAGGGGAAAACAGATGGGAGGCCTTGTCTGAGGGCTCCATCGACAGTTTTCGTTGTTTCTTTTCCATTTTCGTTTAACTTGACATCCACAATTTCATTATCGACCGTTTTTACTCTATCGAATCGAACTGGGGTTGATGCATTCAGAAGGATTCCCAACATAACGGAAGGGTCCAATAAGGCGGAAACATACCTAGTCTAAAGGCAGGTGAGCCCCTTACGATTGTTCAGCGGCCTAGCAGGACCGAACCTGTGCTGCTTGCGCCGGCTGCCTGCCCACCGAAGGCTCACCCAACGCCGTCGGATCTAAAAAGCGGACTTTAGCCGCTTCAGTAGAAAACGGGAGGAGGTAACGCTCACAGTGAATGACCGTTCACCAACGCGGATGCCGGCTCTAATGGTCTGGGGAATCGGAAGAGCCGGAATCCCACTGCTTGAGTCTTTCATCCCTTGTTCTTTCCTGTATTTCGGGTGAGGAAGCGGTTGTGTGATGGCCACGCGAACGCTGCGTTCAGGAGCTTAACATGGATCTTAGATTTTTTGTATATTTACTATGGAAATATTGGCGGAGATGCGCCATTAGTCACAGTCAATTTGATGCCCGGGGGACCTCAGAAGCTTCATTACTCCTGAGCATAGGGCAGCTGTTTCGTTTAGGTTTCATTACTCACCCAGAGTTTCATAACTGGCCTCGCGACAGGGCTTTCAATAACTTTTGCGTCCACTGGAAGGCTTTCTTCACTTAACTCGTTTTTCCTCCACTTTTGGGGCTATTCTGGGAACGAGATGTGTGTAATAGAAGATTATGGTTCGAAATCATGCATTCTGCATGTCCTGTCCACTGCGGATGGGGTCCCGCTAGCCTTATGTCTGTCTTACCACACCCTAAACATCTTACAATACTCACCTAAAACTTGACTCATAATGCCAGTTTAATTTCCAGTAACACCAAAATTTGTGACAGAGGCAAAGGGAGAAGGTCTCAGAATGTTGATAGGACGGGATAATCACAGCGTAAACCAAACCCTGAACAAATCTTGCAATTTTTACAACTTAGGGTAAACGTTTGCTTAAGCCGTGCCACAGTTATTGTATTTTACGAAAGGCGCGGTTCTTTGAGTTGAGGCGATTCTTTGAAAGTATTAGCTGTCCTTGTTTTACTTAATTACAAATTGAAGATCTGAAGATCTACACGAAGCAAAAAAAACGCTTTTCCAAAAGGCAATTGTATAGCAGCCGTGTAGCAGGGTGGTTTCATTTTTAGCACACGCCCTTTTTTCCATCTCTGCAAAACATCTCTTTTCCCAATTTCTTCAAAATCACCAAAAGAATTGTCGAAGGCGTTCAGGAGTGGCGTAAAAAACCTATGGGGATTAGCCGACCCACGGGTAAAGTGCTGGAGTTGCATTGTAAATATTTAAAATACAACAGTTTGATAACAGGTAAAGGGGGGGCGAGTTGGTGTGTATTTGAAAAGTGGCGCGGCAGACTATCGCGCATGGGGTCCGGGGGATCAAATTCCGGAGGCGTATCCCTCTCAAGCAGGCCTTTTCCATCAGCTCCAGAGAGAACTAATTGTTTACTTATTACTTGTCTGGGAAGGATAGAACACTGAATTTTACATCGGAACCGGCCCCCCACACAAGCAATATTGTTATCGACTTTAAAGGTCGTGATCTGATTTTGCCATGTCCACTCTGAATGCGGAGTAGAATGCGTGGCGCGCATCCCCCAACCGGATAGATCGCGCCTAGATGCTTTATTCCTTCATGTTATATAACCTAGAGTCGAAAAATCACTGGAAGTTTGCAATAACCGAAGATCAGGTTCTGAGCGGTTAACTATCTTTTGAACGACCGGGTCACGAACGTCTGTCCATCTGATTTGACGATACAACAGATTCCGTTGGAACAGGGCTCATGTTCAGAGATATCCTGCACAGGGTATGTCAGTAAAAATTACCAGGTCCATACGGCATGTACGCCATGAGTGCATCGATACAGCCCACTGCAGGATCTTCGTTCGTTCGACTTTTTTCTAGTGGAAACGGGACGACCAAACTCTGTCTAACCTATTGCCCATTACAACCTTTCATGTGGTTGGGAAATTCGCAAAGAAACTCTGAACCTTGTGACTTCCTTCGTCCTGCTTCTCTTTTGAGCCGTTACGGAAACATTAATCGCCCTCTCTGGGGACAACGCTCACGCCGTATGCCTCCTCTCGAGGGAATGTTGGAAATCATCCTTTAGAGATAACAAGTGTTTTTTTCATTACAACTAACTTTTTGAACAGCAAAATTTGGAGAGAGGTCAAGGGTGGTAACGTTGGCTGATTCATAAGAAAACGCCTTCGGAATACGAAGGTATGCTTGTAAAATTTAAAAAAAAAACTACAAATAGCCAACTGGAGGGTTGAATGGACGTAGTTGATAATAACGCTCTGATCCACTGTGTTTCCGGCAAAGATAGCGTTCAACCAAGCAAAGTAAGAGGGTTGCGATAAAACCACCTTGAAGATAATTTTTGAGTAAAATTATGATCTTCATAAAAAATTTTCTGAACGCATTAAATTTCGGAGGGAACCCTAGAAATTTGGTTTAGGATAGAAAAGCTTTGATTTAAGATTGTTAAGATCAAGCTAGTGTATACGCGTGCATGGATACACCTGAGCGGGGAAAGCTGGTGTGAAAAGGCGCGACTATTTAGTGAATCCACGTGCGCCTCAAATTAAGCACTCGTTGACTTTAAGTCCACAGTTCGTTCTCTCCAAGGGCGCGTAGTGCCTTTCGCAGGACTGGTAACAGTCACGCGTTTGATGCCAAGTTTACTGATAGAACATATGCGTACAAAGTACAACAGTAGTACAAAGTCTGTATCAGTACAACAGTAGTACAAAGTCTGTATCAACTTCCGCATACCTACTAAGTAACCTTTAGGGAGAATAGTGCTCAACAGAAGAGCAGTAAAGCATTACCTGATCGGAAACCACATCTACTGCCTTCTCCACCGATGAGAGAAGATTCGGTAAGTAGCTATCCCAGCCAATTGACGGATAGGCTTTCTTGAGCGTATCCATTTTGTAAGCGTTGTATTGTTGTTCGTAATTCCTATCAAATATACAGTAACATGCCTTGATATGATATAGTAGATCAAAACCTTTAAGAAAATACTATCTTAACAATTAGTGTATCAAAGATGAGGTTTTCCCTGTCGTTCTTGTGATGAACGATCCAGGTTAGGGCTACCTTTCGAGTTGATTTACTTCAAGCAGAAAAATATATATGAGAGTAGGCATGGCGCTGACCGCTATCCAACGATTCAACGCTACAAATGCTGCGTAGTTCATTAAAAATGCGAAAGTTTCTTCCTAAAAACCCTTCTGCCTTTTTTTCTGGCAGTCCCAGGGCCACTCGGAAAAATGATCATCTTCGCTCCACGCATGTGCTCCATAACGTGCAACGAACTGTTTTGACAAAACGCCCCAGGTCCTGAATGACTTTTTTTGGTTACAGAGTCATATTTTTCGGTTAGGTCCAGGAACCCGCACCTTCCCAGGATGTTTTGCTACGGCAAAAATTCCCATTTTTTCTATGAAGAAACTGTTAATGCACTCGCCTCATTTCCTCATCTGGCCACGAAGCCATAGCAATCTGTGCCTCGAAGTTTGCAACGTCCTGGGAAGCCTTAATTTTCAACGTAATATAAACCAGTGCATCATTCCTATGCTTCACTTTTTTGAAACGGTGTAAACGGTTTAACCTTTTTAATCGTGGCTGCATACTTTGTCGAATCGTCTGTGACATCAGCAGCAAACAGTTTCATCACTTCTTCGATCTGCTCAGCTCGGGAGTTCAATTTGTCAACAAATTGCGGAAGAGTGTAGAAATCTCGAGGCATCGAGAGTGAAGGCTGAAATCCACGAGCATAATTTATTGGAAAAGGTCAGTTTGGGGTGACTAAGTCTTGGAGAAATGTCAAGTGAACAGTGGAGGCCTTCTTAGTTCTATGATTTGTTTTGTACGAAATCCTGTACTGAACGACACTTCAAGAAAGGAAAAACGCGATGATCGACGCGACCCGTTAACTAGCACTTTCTCTTCCCTTCTTTCCTTCTTCATTAACTTCTTTAGAGATCCAAGCCTTCAGCCTTGCAGTGTCTTCGTCGCGCCTTGTTTGCTCAGGTATGGCATGCTAAGGTATTTATCGCGTATTATCGTGCTGAGCATAATGGGTATTCTCGTATCCTTTGAACTGTAATAGAACGTAACAGGTTACTTTTTCTCAAAGCTAGCTAATCTTGTTCTTCTTGCAACAGAAGGAATTCAACACCTTATCCATAAACACTAGTACTAAATCAAAGACAAGGCCAGGCTTAGGCACCTAATCCGGCCTCCCCCCCCCGAACATAGATAGGTGCGCAATCGTCGATGCCGTGCATCCTTTACGGCTTGGAAGAACACGTCGAAGGTGCTGGAAGTTCGCTCGACCCACAGTCCGCACCTTCGTCTGCAAGTGTCTCTCCGTAGAAGGCCTCCGCGCTGCGAGAAGAGCGCGGCCGCAGTACGGTAGCTTCAACAGTGCGACTCGATGTCACTGGCACTGGAAGCAGCTGGGATCTAGCCGTTTAGGAAACTCGTTCAAACGGCCCCGTAGCCATCCCAAGATGGAATGCGGCCTGCACAGGGCGTTATTGGGGTTTATTCCGTTCTTTTCCTTATCCAGACCAATTCTCACGTCCAGCTTTATTGACAGCTCTTACACACCTGTTTTATCACGGGGCCTGCCCCCGACACAGTCACAACCATGCGCGTTCCGGCTTTTTCATCAC